GCGCGGGCAACTCGTGCGTCAGGCCGCAGAGCTCTCCCTCCCTGCTCTGGGCGGCCGCGGGGCGCCGCGAAAAGCGCAGCACTCAGCTCAGCCGTCCTCTGCGGCTCGCTTCATCAGCTGAACCAAACGGCACAGAAACCAAGAGGTGTTTGTCCCCGAAGCTTTTTCTCAGATGAGGTTGCCAGAAAGCTGTTGTTAATCACTCTGCCACAGCAGCTGACGAATCCTCCTTACAGACTGGTGCACGATACCGGCCAGAAATAAACCCATTTTCCTCGGGACGCATCCTGCCTCTAAGCTAATACCCAGGATAGCAGCTGAACCAAACGGCACAGAAACCAAGAGGTGTTTGTCCCCGAAGCTTTTTCTCAGATGAGGTTGCCAGAAAGCTGTTGTTAATCACTCTGCCACAGCAGCTGACGAATCCTCCTTACAGACTGGTGCACGATACCGGCCAGAAATAAACCCATTTTCCTCGGGACGCATCCTGCCTCTAAGCTAATACCCAGGATAGCGGCACCGACACTTACCAGATCCTTGCCACCACACAACTACAGGGAAGTGTACTCAGACTTTGCTAGCAGATTTTTTTTTAATGTGATGCATGTATTTTCCAAAGAAATTAACCTGGCAGACTGGGTTTCAGGGTTTCATTCAACATAAACATGATGCAGGAGGGACACCAAACAACCTCAGCCATACAGCCCACTGAGTCTGCCCAAACTTCCCCCCCGCCCCTCCAAAAAAAAAAAAAAGGCTGAAAACAGCCACCGCGTACCTGGCCAGGAGTGTAATACCCACTGCGTAACCCAGTCTCAGAACAATCTTTTTAAAAAGGCACATGAAATTAAGAAAAATTGTCCTTTTTTTTGCCATTATCTTCTGAGGTAGGATGTCACAACCTAACCAAAACAAAGTTTATGGTTTCCAGCTAGAGGACTTGGAAAAAAGACCAGCACAGAAGCCCTTTTTCAAACCTGGAACAACAGCTGAAAATACCAGAGACAAATACAAGTTGATAACGACTAACTAGATCCCTTTACCTGTTAGACCATCTGAGAGAAGGGCAGCGGATACCTGCAGAATAAAAAGGGAGAGATGCTTATCACCTGCAGGGAGAAACAGGAGGGGAAAAACCCCTGTGCCCGCTACGGAGAGAGGTCAGCTGCAGGAGCTACGTGCCCTACGACTGCGGGCAGCCTCCGGTCCCGGGCACCAGGACCCCGCACAAGGCTCTGCAAAAGCTCGGGAGACCACGAAACGCAGAGGTCCATGTCCATGGACACCTGGAACAGCAAATCCAGGGGAGTTCAGCCAGCAGCCAGATCTTGCATGTTAACACGCTCTATCTCCATTGTCTTTTAACAGTGTCGTGGTTGAAACCATCTGAAACCAGGACAAATAGGAATGCTTTCATGAACGTGTTAACACCCTCTACCTCCTTGTCTTTTAATATTAATATTTTCATTAACATTTTAAACATGGATCTATAACTGAGCTGGTCGTAAGAAAGCTAAATTGCATATTTTTTATTTAAGACTCTAAAAAGTAGGTACGATCACATTTTAACTGCTCTCTGTTTTGCAGTTAAATCCAGAGTGAGCCAATCCAGAGTCTCGCTTCCAAGGAGTACTGAATTTTGTGGTGCCCAAATCAGGAACCAAACCCATGCTCTTCATCCTGAATCCACATCTACAAATTTGACAAGCCTCATTTCACTGCCTGATGGCATCTAAAACAATGAAAAAGCCAAAGCATTTGCCCTTCAGAGAGAAAGTTCATGTGATATGCCAACTCAGACAAATTATGCTTAAGAGATGCCAAGGAAGATAACACAATTGCTATAAAGAAGCAGCTGAAGCATAAGCATGAAATACCATTTTGAAAGCAGGGGTTGTATTTCTAAACCCAGGTTCAAGGAACAACATTTAGATCAAAAAATACAGAACCTAACCAGCCACAAAAAAACATCCTTATCAGAAACAAGTCAACCTGCCAAAGGCCACAGACTCCATCTGCCAAGCGGAAGGCAATGCTTCGGGGGGCTCAGGTCCTCCCATCGCTGCCGCCCACCCCAGTACAGCTAGCACACCACCGCACAGGCTGTTACGACTCGTCTTCCTTTCATCACTGTAGTTTCCCCCATTTTCATTGTATTTCCCCCCTCCCTTCTCTGCTCTGCAGCCTCAGGAAAACAAGTGCTACCACAGGATTGTGAGCGATAACGCAAGTCCCTCCATGCCGGGGAGCTGAACTCGGCCCAGATCCGGGCAGAGGAACAAAGGCACGTCTAACGCTCCCCTCGGTCCCGGGGCAATTTAAAGACGGAACAGCTGATGGTGGGCCAGAGAGGAAGGTGGCAAAGGATCGCAGAATGAGGTATGTCCATCTCACCCAGCCACTGTCATCACCTACCATCTATTGCTGCTTTAGCTTTCAATAAATTTGGCCGGCTGGGCAGAATATCTGGCTGCCATCCTCTGGGATGCGTTCCACACCCTTTTGCCCAGAAGCAGCACAAACAACATCCGGCTTTTACCATGGGCTCATCCCGACTACATCGGGAGTTGAGACCACCTTGCAGCGCTGAACCTTCTGTCTGGTTATTACATTTTCTTTTCATCACACCAGCTTTTTATCCACAACTGTGCCTCCCCAGAGGAAACGCTGAGAGAAAAACAATAGTCATCTCACTTCAGCCAAAGGCAAACAAAGACCCTTTGAGAAGTCCATCTTAAAAAAAATAATAATTATGGTGCCACAGAAAATAGTCAAATTGTAGCAACAGCTATTTGGAAAAATACGCAAAAGGCATTATGACCACGTGTGCACATCAACGGACGACAGGAGCCCGAGCGAGGCGTGAGCCCGGCTGCCCTGCGAGGCGCCGCCTGCC